TGCAGGCCCAAAAGGCTCTGGAAGATACTCTGACCCCTACCCACAACTGCCAAGAAAGCATTGAGACGAAGGAACAGATAGCTATGCAATAATGTAAATGAGGTGTGGTAGGCAGGGAGGGATGCAGCCAAGTCTGTTAAAATTGCTCTCTGTGCCCCACTGGTTCTGGGTGGCCCATCAAGCATTTTGTTTATCATTTACTCTTTTCATATTCCTGTGAATCGCTTCCCTTTTCTTTGAAGTCTCAGCGCCCTATGCCCTCCTGGGTTCAGGATGACATGCAGACGTCACTCTGCCTGACTGTGTTTGGAACCCATGTCCATGGCTTCCCCATATGCACAATTAAACTTAGTTTTTTTCTCCTGTTCTGTCTCATGTCAATTTGATCCTTAGACCAGCTAGAAGAACCCTGTGGGGCAGAGGAAATTTCTTCCTCTGCAAGAGGAGAGCTGGGATCCGTGGGGCTCTCGTGGCTGGTGAACCTCCTCTCTCCCCTGGAGCATGCTGTCCATCATGCCTTCAGCATTATCCTCCAGGGAGGGGAAGTGGGGGGGAGGGCAGCAGGGGGAGAGTCCAGTTTTGGTCACACATCAAGTCCCTACCACCGTGGGATATAAGGCTCAGGGATCTTTGGCTCTAAAGGGTAGTTGGAGGCCAAACACCTGTTAAAAAGACACACACAAGCCCCACATGGTGTCGTCACTTTTGACAGGCCAAGCCACCAAACCAGGGCCTAATACTTAAACCCAATTATAGTTTCAACCTCCCCCAGAAACACAGTCATAGTCGGTCAGGAATTTTCTGGTCAGCATCACTGATAAGCTGTCACGTGCGCCTTCTCCATCTTCCCTCAAAGAAGGTTTATGATCCCTGCTCTTCCTCTGAGAGAACGGGACCCTTCCTAACACAAACCCTAATGTCTTCTTTTGATAATAACTACCCCCCCACCATTCCATTTTGTACATCTCAGAGCATCTCTACTTGTTAGAGGGGATGCTGCCCAAATCACTTAATGAAACCAATTTGATCTTCATATTTACTTGGTTTGAGTTTTGTGTTTTAACACACCAAAGAAAAGTCAGGAGGCAGGAAGGGAAGGGAGCAGGAATCTGCCGGTCAGTTCAGAACTTAGCTTCTGGAATCCAGCTGCCTGGGTTTCATTTCTAGGTCTCTGTCTTTCTTGTCCTGTTCCCTGGGTGAGTCATTCAACCTCTCCAAGCCTCAGTTCTCCTGTTCCCTAAATGGGCATCTGATCCATGAGGTAGCTGTGAGCATTCCCAGGGAAAGCACACAGCACAGAACCTGCCACAGGGGAGCACTGCATGCTATGCTACCGACAACTGTCACTTAATTCTCAAAAAAAATTCTCAGGTATTTATTGCTGGAGTTAACAATTCCATTTTTCTCTCTACCCAAGCAAGTTTTATTTGAAGCTTCAGTGAATCAGCAGAGAATAAGTGCATAACTCTTGGCCATTAACAAAGCAGAACTTTCCCCAGGTTCAGAAATCACCACAGCTGCCACCTCTAGCCAGCTGCACACACCCTGCTGATGGTCAGAGACATATCAGGGGGAGACAGAAAAGAAAAGAATCCTAATTCGCTTGTCTCTTCACACCTAAGAGTTTACAGAAGGCATCTGGAAAGGTCATACACATGGATTTTGCTATAAAGCAGTTACTACTAAATCAGGCACAGAAGATTTCATTCTCCATCAAACGTAAAAATTAAACCTGGATTGTTAAAAACAGCCTTCCTCGGAAACATGCTAATGTTTAACTGAGAAAAAACTTTGAATGAACTACTTCTTCAGCCAAGGTACAGGCATAGCATCATACATTCCTATTAATCAATTACACTTCATCATTTAAAAGTAAAGGTCATCAATGGACTAACGGTTACCAAAGGGAAAGGGACTGGGCAGGAGGGGTGGGAAGGGAGGGATAAGGGCGGGGGAAGAAAGGGAGCCTTATGATTAGCATGCATAATGTTATTGGGGGCATAGGGAGGGATGTGCAGCACAGAGAAGACAAGTAGTGAGTCTACAGCATCTTACTATGCTGATGGACAGTGACTGTAATTGGGTTTGTGGGGGAGGACTAGGTGAAGAGGGGAGTCTAGGAACCATAATGTTCTTCATGTAATTGTAGATTAATGATAATAAAATGAATAAAAAAATAAAATAAAATAAAATAAATTGAATCAAAAAAAGTAAAGGTCATCAGATCAATAAAGGTAAGTTATTATTTATGAAAACTTTTTTTTTTGAGATCCTGTAACTGAGTGGAAAAGTTGGCATCTCTAACTTCATATTGTCTGTCTCTGCTGCCTTAGTCTTTGGGTCACAAAGCTTCCACTTGGCCCTGCACAGTAGGCTTGTTAATCATCAAAAGGAATTTTGCTCATTGCTTAAGAATGAGGGAACCAGCCCCTTACTGAAACTCCCCTCCCAGCAGATAACTAAGTACAGAAATGATCGAATTGTCAAGGACTTACAGGAACATCACAGTCAGACCATATCAACAGAACGATTAGAGTCAGCTAACCAAGGACAAGGAGTGTCACAAGCCTCCTCAGACCCTCGCTGACCTCCAGGTGTCTGAGGCAGTCATCTCCTCCTTCCCTAATAGAGAAGACGCTTGAAATCAACCCTAAGGTAACATGGTTCTTCAGGACACGCCTGCTATCTTCTCAACCTGCTGGCTTTCTGAATAAAGTCACTTTCCTGGCCCCAACACCTTGTGTCTCCTCTTATTGGCATTTTGGGTAGTGAGTGGCACAAGCTTAGACTCAGTAAGCCCAGGAGAAAGTTCTTCTGGAGGCTCCCTGCCTACCCTCTTCTTTGGGCGGGGAGGGGGCAGGGATACCCCAACTTCCTTTATCACTGCCCAGATCCACTTTAATAGAGAGATTTCTCTTCCACCCCAAAATCAGCTTGAGCAGCTTTTTTTTCCCTTAAGGCACACATTTCCCAAATGGAGAGTCATTCACAGTAGCCCTTTGGAAAGATTGTTCTTAGACCACAAAAGAGGTTCATCCCCAGTATCTTGTGAAATCTTGTGGAAGGCGAAATGTACAAGGTTCTCACCACCAGGGAATGTTCTCACGTGGTGGCTTTTACCAGCACCAACATCTTGTGGTCAAGTTAAGCTTCCTCAGCTGACTCACTCCCTCCTGCTGGCCTTGTGCCACCATCCACCACGGGGGTGGGGTGGGGATGGCTCGGACAACCCGCAGATGAAAGACGACTGGAATCAAAGTTTTGAGCAGAACATATTTTTGAAGTTTCCTTTTTTTTTTAAAACTAATTAAACAGTATAGAAGTTATTCAGGAGAGTTTCTTTTTTTAAAAAACATTAGCATGGCATGTCTTTCCTCTTAAAAAAAAGTCTTGAATAATTTAATTAGAATTACACCAAAGTCATGAGTATGTTCTATTTATGGGGGTATCATAGCTGAATTAAAACCCAAATGATGGTGTTAAAAATAAAGTTATCTTCAGACAGCATATTCAATTGATAAGAAAACCTTGACTGCAAATCAGTGAGGTAGTTTGGAAGGAGGAGGACCAAATCAGCTCCCGGGATTTTGTCTTTTTTAAGATTATCTAGCCTGGGGACACTGTGTCTTGCCACAAAAAGTGCTAATAAATGAAAATCATAATAAGAAAAAAGAAAGCCGTTTGATTTTATTTTTGTTTTGTCACTGGGAGACCACCTGGTTCCCGGAAGCCTAGCACAGTCCATAGTTTTTCCCAGTTACTTTGCTGCATTTAATACTTTGCACACACATGTGAAGACGCATGCCGGTGCAGAGGGGCTGGGCGGCTGAACTCGGAGGAAATGCGGCTGCTTGGCGGGCGGTGAGCGCGCCTCCGCGGACCCGGCAGCTTTTGGCTGGGCTCACGCATACATCCCGTAGACAGGGGGCTGCGCCTTGGAGGGCGGCCACCAGCCTCGTTAGCAATGAGACAGCAGGCGGGGGCGAAGGGAGAACGTTCACACGAAGTGAGTCCCCCGGTAATAGCGTGGCGCCCGAGGCCCACGGCACCCGGTCCCTGCGGGAAGCAGGTGTCGCTCGGCAGAAGGAAATGCCGTAGGAGGCGAGTCCCAGGTCTGCTCTCGCAGCCCGGCCACACGGAGGGGCAGCGAACAAGTTGTGAAACACTCGCACACACCCCTGGCTGCGCCCGGGCGGGCTGCCATAGCCTTGCCACCGCCCAGAGAGCCCCTCTGCACCCTCCGATCTGCTCTCCGAGGACCAGGGGCAGCTGTTGCTAGGGGGGCTGCTCTCAGCTGTGCGGACACACCGCTGGGCGCCCCCATGAGCCCCGCAGAACCCGCGGCTGCAGCCGGGGGAGACAGTGGGGGCGGCAGGCGTGCGCCCCACGACCTACCTTCTGCGGCGGCGTCCCGATCAGCATCTCCAGGTAGTAGCCGCGCCCAGAGTCGCCCTGCAGGTTGTCCACCATGGCCAAGAAGTTGGCGGCGCCGCCCGCGGGTTCCAGGGCTAAGGCCAGGCCGTCGGCGTGCGGCAGCGCCTGCGGCGCGGCGGGGGCCCCGGGCCCGGGGGCGGGCGCGGCCACCCGGAGAGGCAGCGCGAAGGGCGCGGGGGCCAGCGCCGGGGACGCGCGCAGGAGCCACTGGGCCAGCAGAGGCCACAGCAGCGCCCGGGCCTGCGCGCCCATGCCCGCGGCGGGGCCCGGGACACGCGCCCGGCCCGTCCCGTCCCGTCCGGCGGCGGCTCGGCGGCTGGCGGGGCCGCGGGCGGGCTGGGCGCTCGGGGCGGGCGGCGGGAGGCCCGGGCAGGCGGCGCGCGGAGGAGCGGGGAGCGGAGCCGCCCAGCCCGCGCCGCCAAGTTGAACAAGTTGGGCGCCGCTGCCCCCTCTGGCGGGCGGCTGCCCGCGCGGCCCGGCCCCGCCCCGCGGCCAAGGTCAGAGCGGGGCGCGGGGTCCCGGAGTGCACGGCCCGCCCCGCCGCCGCGCCCGCCTCGGGCCGCCTTCTTCCCGGGGAAACTCGAGTCCTGAATTTCCTCGGAGCGCTCCCCGGCGGCCGCGGCCAACGGATGTGACGAGGCGCATCTGATACCGAGGAAAGTTTCGGGAACCCTTAAAGGGGCAGCGAGGGCCTGGCTGGGCTCCGGGCCCGGCGCGCCAGGGAGCGCGCAGCGGCGGGGCGCCCCGGCATCGCGGGGCTCGGAGAGCAGAGGGGGAGCCGCCCGCGCGCCGGGGGCCTCACGGAGTCGGGAGTCCGCCTCCCCTCGTCAGAGGCGGGCGCCCTGCTTCAGCCGCCTTCCCGCGCGCCGACACCCCCTCCTGCCCAGTTCGTGCCCATCCCTCCTCCCCCACCCCATTTACGGCCCCTGAGCTATTCTGAAGAGGTCTGGGTGGAGGCTGGGGTCCACGGGCTCGGGGAGGCAGGCGAGCGGGCGAGACTTCGGAGCCTTCTCCCCACAAGTCCCGGGGACCGAACGCTCGGCCTGCTGGTGCTGCCCCCCAAGCCCTCGGTCCCGGCGCGCACGATGCCGGCTCGGAAGGCGGCGTCCGCAGCTGGCTTTGAGCGTGGATTTCTCAGCCCTCAATGCAGGTAAGCTGCTAGCGCTGCTGCTGTACCTTCCCCATTGCTCCCCAGTCCGCCTAGCAAGTCTTCACAACTCACCAGGCAGGGCGTCGGGTCTGCACCTCTGCCATCCACCCCTTACCCTTCCCCCGCAGCCAACTCTCCGCAGTTGATCTAATGAATACGTGTTTAGCCATAGCCACCACGGGTTGCAGAAATGCATTCAATAATGCAAGCTAAGAGGGTTGTTTTGCTTTAGGGACTAAACGCGGGGGGTGGGGGTGGGGGTGGGGATAGGGGGAATTACACAAGCTAAAGTCCTTCGATTTCTACTGAAACAAGTAGAAAAATCTTTTTGTCTCCTCCACCTGAATTATGTTGGCTGTTTAAAAAAAATAAGTCAGTCTTCAAACAGTCGGGAGGTTGGAGCAGAGCGTCACTCCTGGCTGCAATTTTCAGCTACTTCCACTCAGGATTTTATTTTTATTCGTGTGTTCTCAATTTTAGAATCAGGTCTATCTCTGCAAAGGACCCTTATGCCAGAGATCTTCAGCTGGATTGATTTTTAGATGATTTTAACTAAAAATCACATTTTCCCCAAACTATATCCCAACTTTAACAAATCCCCAGCCACACAAAGAAAGGCCTAGTTGGATCCATGATATAACCTAACTTGATATTCCCCATAAATCTGCATAGTTATCCCAGAGCTATTAGATTCATATATTCACATTTCAAATTCAAGGTTGTAGAGGAAGTGTAAGTTTTAAAAAAATGATTGTTTATATTTCTAGTGTCCAGTCTTGAAGGGCTCAAAAAGACATTCAGACATCTCTCATAGGAATGTTGCCTTGTTAAAAGTGGGTAGATTTTAAGGACATTGACATAGGGACTACAGGATGTTCAAGCTCAATGTTAGAGACATTTAATCTCTTTAGTAATTAAAAACCACAAGGGGAATTAAAAAAAAATCAAGTCTAATTAAGGTTTGTCCTTCACAAAGCCCCTGACTCCATCCATCTAGTGTATTAGTGAGCTTTTCATTTTAAGGGGGCCAGTTCAGGTTTGTGGATAAACAGCTGCATGAACATAAGTCACAGAGGTCCTCTTGCAGTTTTAAGGGATGGTACAACTCTCATCAGAAAATAACTAGGGCTGAAGTGACAGCATCTTATGACTGTCCCCTTGTTCATCCCTAGTTTTATGAATGGTCTTAAAGTTCTTGATCCCTCCTCAGAACGATGGTGCTGGCTGGATTTGGAAAACAATCATTTTATCTTCAAGGTGTTTTCACTGAAATCATATATGACAGTCCTCCTGGGTAACATTCGCTTTCCTTTTCTTCATCTTTGAAACACCTCTCCAAGACACTCCCTGTGGTATTGGTGAGCAAAGCAGTGGGGAGAAAAGAGAGTGAACCCCTCACTCCCGTATAGCACCCCTAAATCCTCTTCAGACAGGCCCAGTGTCTTACCAATGGGTTTCAGCCCCAGGCAAGTTCACTATGGATTCACTGTGACCAAAGAGATGACAGTAGAATGCTCTTGGGGTGAAAGGGTTATACCCAACTTTATTTCCATGGTGGCAGGTCAGTTACTGGAATCCCATTCACTCAGAGCAAGTCTGCAGGCAGCAAGCCGGTTCCTGCCTCTGGGCCTCTCTGCCCGCGCACCCGACTCAGTCTCTGTCCTCGGCGCTGCCACCACTCCAGCCTCTGCTCTGCTCTCCTGCAGCCTTGTAGCTCTACCACTGTGTCACCCAGAGCACTGGACAGGGCTCTTTATATAGAGTCAATAATGATGTATTGCCCACACGTGTGTAGTGAGTAGCTGACCAGGGCCAGGGGAGGATCCCGGCCACTGGAACCTTCATTTTATTCATACCCACTCTCCCCCAGGGCACTCATAGTGCCCTGCTCATCCCCCTCTGTCCTACTTCCCCTCCTCCTCCCACCTCCATTTTCAGCCACACACTTCCCTGGTCCACTCAGAGAAGCCCCAGCCCTACAGCAAGATGGGCCTCCTTCCTTGCAAAGGGTGAACATTCCCTGAGATCACCCCGAACTGAGATTGCCCCTGTTCAGCAGAAGGTAATCAAAGAACTCACCCTCTGCCCGAGGAGCTAACTGGGGACTCCTTCCAGGAATACACAGCACGTGGCTGGAATAATTGTCATCAATGTATTTGCTGATGCTCACAGGCTCTTACTATGAGCTCTGAGTTCTTTTACACTGGGAGTTCTCAAACTGTCTGGACTCAGGAACCCCTTATACTTTAAAAAATTGAGCAACCAAAGAGCTTTGGTCTATGTGGATCACATCTATTAATAGTTACCAAATTAGGAATTAAAAGAGAAATTTTAACAAAAATGTGATTATGCCTTAACAATAAACAAACCTATTAGCAACCTAAATAACCCTTTAATGAAAACTATATTTTTCAAAAAAAAATTAATGAGAAGAATTACATTATTTTGCATTTCTGCAAGTCTCTGTCTGGCTTATCTAAAAGACAGTTGTAATCTCATGTGTGCTTCTGCATTCAGTCTGTTAGAAAGCCTCTGGAAAATTCTGCCTAACACATGGGAGAGAGTAAGAGTGGAAAAGCTAAATAACATTTTAACGTTGTCATAAAAATAGTTTTGAGCTAAAGGACCCCTTGAAAGGGTCAGGCCGCACTCGGACAACCTGTTTCATACAGTCTTTCTTTGGTTTGTACTTTTGCATCTGAAGTCATTTTCAACCTATAACAAGTCATATGTGTCAGGCACTGGGTCAGCCCCTGGGAAGAAAAGGCAAACTAAGATCTGGCCCTTGCTCTTGGTCTGTAGACTAGACCAAGGGACACCTATCCTCTCCATCTGAGCGCCTCTCAGGCTTAGCAAGAGGACGCCAGTCACCTCCAGCAACGCCTGCCCCCCAACCCCCACCGTGGAAGCTTATCAATCCATCACTTTGTTCTCTTTCTCCCGGAACTTCATGTGCTGCCTCCCTGCTTCCTGGCTCCTTCTCAGATATTTGTAAACATGCTAACTGCAGTCTTTTCTTTATCTTCCTAAACCTGTCTAGATCCCACCCTCTGCAGCTTAGTGCCCACATCCCAGCAGAGCCCTGCTTCTTGGAAGTGCTGCGATTATCTCCACCCCCTCCTCACCCTGTATAGCTGGCAGCCCTGGGGACGTTGCTCCACCTTTAGTCTTACCGGCCCTCACCACACTCTGCGCTAGCTCCCCTGCTCTGGGCTCTGTTGTTTTTAAGGCTGGCTGTTCCTCAGAATCACCTGGGGGATCCTGTGTGCCTCTCTTCCCTAGAGGCTCCCATTCCCTAGAGGTTGGTTTGGGATGGGGTTCCAGAATTGCTAGCTTTAAAAGCAGAGCTGAGCATGGGAGGAACGAGGTATCACATTGAAGGGATTCTGTGGCCTTGTGGTTCTGAACTGATTTGGAAATGTCAGTATGTGTTCCCGAGATCTTTCATATTTAAAAAGAATTGTCCTTGCTGCATCTGCTGGGAAGGCCCAGATACCATGAACTTCCTTAGTGCCCAAATTAGGGTTTCAAAACATCACTTCCCTTGAGGGGAAAAAGTACTTCCACTCTGTCTGTTTGCTTTTAACATTTGGGGGATGGTTTAATAAACTACCAGTGTTACATAGCTATTATGACAATATGATGGCCAGTTTTTCTGTGTGTTTTGAACAAAGTGAACAACAAAATTCAATAAAGCCTGTACATCATGACCACCTTGTAGCAAAGGCAACAGTTGTAACTTTTCAAAACTTTTGTATATTTCAATATATTGTCAATGTTTTTAGACATTTAGGTTGGAAGGAGCAAATCAAAACCAAGCTGGGCCTCCTCTGGGAAGACTGACTCCAGGTCTGGGGCAGAAATGGAGCAGGGTGACCTGGGAACATCCTGTCATCCCAGAAAGCAAGAATGTCACCAAGGACATTCTTGGGCACTGGCTGCGGCAGAGCTGGGACCACTGAAGCATCATTAAGAGTAGGAACTGTAATGGCTCAGAACACCTCAATTATGTTGAAACCTCTTCGTTCATAATGTTCTCTTAAAATGTACATTGTCTTAGAAGAATGCTAAGGAGCCCAAAGCACTGTTTTTTGAAAACTGGCTGAAAAAAGAAAGCATGACACATTTATTATCCTAATTTTCTGCACAAACTATAGCTCAGTATAACCAAGTATTGAGGAAGGGAAATTTCTCCTCGTAGCAGTATTGCAGCTAGTGGAGGAAGGGCTGGAGGCACTAGAACATGGCCATCGTGCTGCATCTAAGGAGCCCATGGACCTAGGCACTGAGCACATGTGGTCGATGCACCACACACACAAAAGAAAGAGACCTCCCACCCTTCTGTGTGCCCTGATGGAAGCCCACAGTGCTACCTGTGAAATGCTCTTACCCCCAAAATCAAACCTGAATCTGACTGGGCCTCTATATCACAGGTTGGCAGATGACAGACATCCTGTTGGCAAATCTGGCCTGCTTGCTTGTTTTTTAAATAAAGCTTTACTGAAACACAGCCATACCCATTTGTTTTAGTAGCAGCAGCTGAAATCATACGGGCCTCGAAACCTAAAATGTCCACTGCCTAACCCTTTATAGAAAAGTTTACCAACTCCTGCTACACATCAACAGTCCCCAAACCCTTATCAATCAATTGTCATATAGGAACCTTATTTGTATCCTGATTCAAACAAAATGAAAAAGTTACTGATGAGACAATTAGAGAAATTTAAACACTGCTTGGATGGTGTTATGGAATTACTGTGAATATTTTTAGATCTAATGATGCCATTGGCTTGTGTGTGTGTATGAGTTCTTACCTAGTGGAGGCACATGCTGTGATATTTAGGAACAAAATGAGATTTGTTTCAAAGTAATATGGGTGGCGGAGGACATGCCAGTCAGTGTTCTCCATGACATGAATGGTCCTAGTGATAACCCTATGAGCAGGCACCATTATTATTCCCACTGTATAGATGAGAGACCAAGGCACAGAGTGGATATTGGACTACTGAATGGTGGGAGTGGGATTTAGATTCTGTGGTCTGACTCCAGAACCTGTGTTCTTTCATCAGGGGGCTGGGGCCGTGCCTTTGATGTGGCCTTTCTGTAGGTCACAGATGGTCTGGCTGGAGAGGACCTGCAGAAGAGCACCTCCTGGGGCATGCACAGAAGATAAGACAGGGGTGCTGCAGATGTATGTTGAGCCCTTCTCTGTGCCATTTACCATGTTAGAGCCCAAACCCTGTGGGCAAATAAGACCAGCCAGTCCTCTCCATCAGAGACCACAGTCTACCAGGAGACAGACCGTAGTACGTTTTCTTTATGGAAACACCCCTCCAGCTTCAGGGTGGAGGAGAGCTGGGGGTGGTGAGCCCGGAAACAGGGAGGCCAGTTTGGAGCCCGCTGCAAGGCTCCTTGACGATGGTGGCAATGGGCACACAGAGGAAGACGTTAGCATTCAGGGCCGAGAGATGACGTCTTGACATCCTAAGGAAGTCGGGTGGGACATGTGAGCCAGGAACATTCAGTGCACATATCTCTGCGTGGTGCTTCCTTCCGTGCTTGGTTTTCACAGCAGGGTCACAAATCCCACCTCGTTTTGATCCTCAGTGGGAGGCAGGGGTGGCAGATGTCCCCATTTATGCAGGGATGTTGAAGGTCAGGAGCACCGAGCTCTCACCATGCCCTGAATGCAAATTGCTCCCCTCCTCTGCCCCTTGTTCTCTAACACTACGAGGGAGGCACCCTGTGTCCCTGTCATCCTGGAAGACACTGAGACACAGAGAACTGAAAATCTGCCTAAGATCACAGCCACCAAACTACCAGCAGGGTTTGAGCCTGGTCAGGAGGCTGCCAGAGCTTACCTTCCTTTCCCTGAAGCAGGTTGCCTTCTGAAAATGACCAATGAGGCACATTTGGGACAGAGGGAAGTAAGGATTCACCTCAGACATCTTTAAATACCATCTTTCTCTCATGTTCTTAAAACAGGTTCCCTTTACAAAAGCCTTGTATACTTTCAGGAACCCATGGGTTGGATAAAAAAGGCCCATCACTATAATGTGACATCAGCCGGATCCCACCTAGGCACGGCTCTACCCAGGGAGGTGGGCTGCCCAACCAGGGAGGTTTCCAAATGTTTGTCCCCCAGCAGCCCTGTTCTTCTGATGCGTGTGGAGACAGCAGCCCGCGGGAGGCCCACAGGCTCTGAGTCCAGAGGCCGGGGATCAACCTCTGATGCTGCCTCAGACCATGCGAGTATCCCCGGGCACCTTTCTTCTGCTCTCTGAGCCTTGGCACCCTTATTTCTGTGTCTACTGGCCCACTTCCCGGGCTGCGTTCTCCTGATTCAGCCTGAGCGGCGCCCTCTGCTGTTGTGGGGGCAGTATGGCTTATTTACCTGCTTTGGAAGGCTCTTTATAAGGACTACATTATCTTCTCTAGTCCCCCAGGTCTGTCTGTCTATGTTTTAACTGCCCCAAAGGAAGACACACACAGTGTCGCCTTTGAAGGTTACCCCTGATTTAATGATTGGAAACCACTCCCCCCTCGACATTTCAGCTACCAAACCAGTTAATGATCATTTGTGAAAGGTGTGTGAGTCTTGGGGATGGTCTGAAGCTTCCTGTGGATACTTTCAAGTTATGTCCAGAAAGCCCTGCATACACACCTACAGGAGGTGCCTGGGGCTGGGGGTCCGCTGGGGACAACAGCAGAGAATCCTCGGTTAGGCAGAATAATGGTCTCCTAAAGTCTCCCACATCCAAAGCCCTGGAATCTGTGACTAAGTTACCTTACATGGCAGAGGCACTTTGCAGATGTGATTCAATTAGGGCCCTCGAGATGGGGAGAGTATCCCAGATTATCCAGCTGGGCCCAATCTGATCATGTGTATACTTAAAAGCAGGGAAGCTTTCCCAGGTGTGATTGAAGAAGAGTAGGGGCAGAGAGACACAGCGTTGCTGGGCTGCAAGGGGGGGCCACAGGCCGGGGGCCCTGAGAAACTTGTCCCGGCAGGGAAACCGACTCATCCCTAGAGACACCAGAAAGGAGAGCAACTCTGGCACCTTGCTTTTAGCCCAGTGAGGCCCAGCTGAGACCTTGGACCCAGAGAAGTATAAGATAAAAAGTTCATGTTTCCAGTCACTAAGTTTGTAGCAAACTGTTACAGCAGCAATGGGAAACCAACACACCACTCTTAGGAAACTGTATTGTCTCATGCCTTAATGGCACAGAGAATGAACTTGTGTGGAAAAACGTGGATATTAACAACTATGAGTCTAAATTTCAAGGGTTGGCTGGAGCATAAAAAACTTATAAGAATGACTTACCAGTTTATTTCACTTGTTTTATGTTTCTACTGGAATGTCTAAATAGGGTGTCTTGCCAATGAGTTTCAGCTTGGGCAAGTTCACTATGGATTCAGTGAGACCAAAGAAATGACAGTAACCTGCCTCTGGGCCTCTCTGCCCGCGCACCCGACTCAGTCTCTGTCCTCGGCGCTGCCACCACTCCAGCCTCTGCTCTGCTCTCCTGCAGCCTTGTAGCTCTACCACTGTGTCACCCAGAGCACTGGACAGGGCTCTTTATATAGAGTCAATAATGATGTATTGCCCACACGTGTGTAGTGAGTAGCTGACCAGGGCCAGGGGAGGATCCCGGCCACTGGAACCTTCATTTTATTCATACCCACTCTCCCCCAGGGCACTCATAGTGCCCTGCTCATCCCCCTCTGTCCTACTTCCCCTCCTCCTCCCACCTCCATTTTCAGCCACACACTTCCCTGGTCCACTCAGAGAAGCCCCAGCCCTACAGCAAGATGGGCCTCCTTCCTTGCAAAGGGTGAACATTCCCTGAGATCACCCCGAACTGAGATTGCCCCTGTTCAGCAGAAGGTAATCAAAGAACTCACCCTCTGCCCGAGGAGCTAACTGGGGACTCCTTCCAGGAATACACAGCACGTGGCTGGAATAATTGTCATCAATGTATTTGCTGATGCTCACAGGCTCTTACTATGAGCTCTGAGTTCTTTTACACTGGGAGTTCTCAAACTGTCTGGACTCAGGAACCCCTTATACTTTAAAAAATTGAGCAACCAAAGAGCTTTGGTCTATGTGGATCACATCTATTAATAGTTACCAAATTAGGAATTAAAAGAGAAATTTTAACAAAAATGTGATTATGCCTTAACAATAAACAAACCTATTAGCAACCTAAATAACCCTTTAATGAAAACTATATTTTTCAAAAAAAAATTAATGAGAAGAATTACATTATTTTGCATTTCTGCAAGTCTCTGTCTGGCTTATCTAAAAGACAGTTGTAATCTCATGTGTGCTTCTGCATTCAGTCTGTTAGAAAGCCTCTGGAAAATTCTGCCTAACACATGGGAGAGAGTAAGAGTGGAAAAGCTAAATAACATTTTAACGTTGTCATAAAAATAGTTTTGAGCTAAAGGACCCCTTGAAAGGGTCAGGCCGCACTCGGACAACCTGTTTCATACAGTCTTTCTTTGGTTTGTACTTTTGCATCTGAAGTCATTTTCAACCTATAACAAGTCATATGTGTCAGGCACTGGGTCAGCCCCTGGGAAGAAAAGGCAAACTAAGATCTGGCCCTTGCTCTTGGTCTGTAGACTAGACCAAGGGACACCTATCCTCTCCATCTGAGCGCCTCTCAGGCTTAGCAAGAGGACGCCAGTCACCTCCAGCAACGCCTGCCCCCCAACCCCCACCGTGGAAGCTTATCAATCCATCACTTTGTTCTCTTTCTCCCGGAACTTCATGTGCTGCCTCCCTGCTTCCTGGCTCCTTCTCAGATATTTGTAAACATGCTAACTGCAGTCTTTTCTTTATCTTCCTAAACCTGTCTAGATCCCACCCTCTGCAGCTTAGTGCCCACATCCCAGCAGAGCCCTGCTTCTTGGAAGTGCTGCGATTATCTCCACCCCCTCCTCACCCTGTATAGCTGGCAGCCCTGGGGACGTTGCTCCACCTTTAGTCTTACCGGCCCTCACCACACTCTGCGCTAGCTCCCCTGCTCTGGGCTCTGTTGTTTTTAAGGCTGGCTGTTCCTCAGAATCACCTGGGGGATCCTGTGTGCCTCTCTTCCCTAGAGGCTCCCATTCCCTAGAGGTTGGTTTGGGATGGGGTTCCAGAATTGCTAGCTTTAAAAGCAGAGCTGAGCATGGGAGGAACGAGGTATCACATTGAAGGGATTCTGTGGCCTTGTGGTTCTGAACTGATTTGGAAATGTCAGTATGTGTTCCCGAGATCTTTCATATTTAAAAAGAATTGTCCTTGCTGCATCTGCTGGGAAGGCCCAGATACCATGAACTTCCTTAGTGCCCAAATTAGGGTTTCAAAACATCACTTCCCTTGAGGGGAAAAAGTACTTCCACTCTGTCTGTTTGCTTTTAACATTTGGGGGATGGTTTAATAAACTACCAGTGTTACATAGCTATTATGACAATATGATGGCCAGTTTTTCTGTGTGTTTTGAACAAAGTGAACAACAAAATTCAATAAAGCCTGTACATCATGACCACCTTGTAGCAAAGGCAACAGTTGTAACTTTTCAAAACTTTTGTATATTTCAATATATTGTCAATGTTTTTAGACATTTAGGTTGGAAGGAGCAAATCAAAACCAAGCTGGGCCTCCTCTGGGAAGACTGACTCCAGGTCTGGGGCAGAAATGGAGCAGGGTGACCTGGGAACATCCTGTCATCCCAGAAAGCA